CATTTCCATGTACTATACAGAGGTATCAGTATTAAATTCCCGAAATGCCCATATTGCGTTGAAATATACTGATTGAATCAGTTTAAATTGGGAGACAATTTTTATTTTCATGGAATTATGTTGAGTATTTTGTACATAAAACACCAATTAAAAATTATGTAATCTAAGTCTAAGGGAAAATGAGTGAGCTGAATCCCTGTGAGAACTACGTGGTTAATTCAGACGTACAGCCCCAGAGTGACTATGACATGACATGAAAGTTTTTAACGAAACATACTAAAACACAACAGCTAAATTAGAGCATTCCTGAAGGAAAATAACTGACGGTTTTTTATTTTTCATATTTATTTCTGAATATGCTGTAGAAAATACATGCACAAATGGCTGGTTCTTTCCAAAGTTTTGAATACTTTATGACCACTTTCTGGTGAAAAGGTTGCATTTTGAATTTATACTTTCGAAGTATTTTAAAAATGTGAGTCGGAAAAAAATTAAATTTTAAAACGAGCGACATTTTCTTTATATGAGAGAAACAAGGGTGTAGAATTTAATATTTAATTTCGAAATAATTGAGCCTCATTTAATTCAAATTATGTTGACTATAAGCCATCAGTCCAGATTTCAAAAGATTCATTTTATTCTATTTTTTGAAAACTTCAATTAAGAAAAAACATACGGGACGCAACGCGTTTAATTTTAACATAGTAGTCTTGTTTACTAACAATTACCTTTGACAAAAAGTATGTGAACCGTCCTTTACGTTTAAAACTGCAGTGTTATGCCATGAAAAGGTTCGTAAAAAAAAATGGCTCGTTCATTTTATTTGCTTTTCCTCGTGGAATTTTCGAAAACGGAATGACGCCTTTTCAATATCAATTTGTTGGGACAAAGAGGAAGCGTGAGATTTCTATCACCAAATCAACTACCGGTACTGAACTTTGTGGAAGGTAGCATCGAAAGCACCGGAAATAGAAAGTTCTGTATCACTCTGGAAAGTCAACTCAATTCTGCTTCGTCCACTAATTTTCGCTGAGACGAAAGCATCGAAGGAATGACTGCCAAGGGCTTTTTGTCGTGATGACGACAACCCCGTCGTGTTCTAGGTCATGCAGAATTATTGTGCTAGGTGACGTTACGGAGTGAATAACAAGTAGATGGCCTNCCCTGCGTTGCGCAAATTAAAATTGTATCATCAGAACAAATGATTGTTAATGGAAACTGTTTTTCATACACTTGGCAGGAAATGCAAATTTTGACGTCACAATACGGTACTTTTGGTTCGTAAAAAAAAATGGCTCGTTCATTTTATTTGCTTTTCCTCGTGGAATTTTCGAAAACGGAATGACGCCTTTTCAATATCAATTTGTTGGGACAAAGAGGAAGCGTGAGATTTCTATCACCAAATCAACTACCGGTACTGAACTTTGTAGAAGGTAGCATCGAAAGCACCGGAAATAGAAAGTTCTGTATCACTCTGGAAAGTCAACTCAATTCTGCTTCGTCCACTAATTTTCGCTGAGACGAAAGCATCGAAGGAATGACTGCCAAGGGCTTTTTGTCGTGATGACGACAACCCCGTCGTGTTCTAGGTCATGCAGAATTATTGTGCTAGGTGACGTTACGGAGTGAATAACAAGTAGATGGCCTTGGAAAGGGCGTCTAAAAATATAGTTACACTACTTCCGTTCGTAGACGAAAAAGTATCTAAAATTCCGAATTTTTTCATTTAAAAAATAATGACTTCAATAACAAAACTCCATTTGAATGTTCATTTTTTATTGATATCGTTGATTTTTTCAATGCACGTTTTTGAAACCTTGGGAGACCAAATTTTGTGTTGGTGAAAAGTTACGGTACGTGTTTTTGCCAAAGAAAAGAGCGATAGGTGTAGATTATTAAAGGAAGTTTTTTTGTCTCATATGGAATAAAATATTTGACATGCTTGAAAATTGGCTCGGGCAAAAATATTTACGTTAGACAAAATTTCAAATAAAATTATAAGTTTGGAAAATTCTAAAGAGCCCATTTAAAAATGCGATTCCCCGAGCCAATGAAAAATGACAATGAAAACCATCCAATGACTGGATTTGTTTTCATGTCGGAAAATGGATTCATTTTCCATGAAAAAAGTGCATATGCGAAGAAAAAGAAACGCAGAATGAAGCAGAAACGATTTTAAACGCTTGATTATTATTTTAATATAACTGGCGTCTTGTCGTGTTTCAAATGCTGAATCATTCATTTCGGAATTATTCAAATGATCACGTTTCTCCAACCAAATATTTTTTTCTCAATAGCCAAATGTATAAGACTCACATTTTTTTAAACCGAAAAAAAAATCCAAGTTTTGTCTCGAATAATTTTTGACTAAAATTGTAATTCTGCGAACTGTAAGGAAGTCAGTGCCGAAAAAAAAATGAAGAACTTTTTGTTCGCCCCGACTTGTTATTTTGGTTTTCCTGGTTGCGTGGTGTGCATGGTTACGACAAAACTGCCCCCGTACATTTCCCTCCAAAACACGCTGCCCATTTTTTTTTCTGCGGCGAAATTCTCGAAGAGTATGAAAACCCCTCTGCCGCCATTTTCTTTCAACAATAGCTCGTCACAAGCTAAGTAAATAATTAGCCATTTGATGGAAGACGATTGATTATGTTCATGTGACTCATTTACACGTACTCTATGAAACAAAAACCTTTTTTCTTCGTATTTTCGGTTCGCGGGATTTCGACTGTTAAGTAATGAGCGAATTTGCGGACACTTTTTCGGTTCATTAATTACAAATTTTATTTTGGTACGATCACATCAGATATGTATGCACAGAGAGTTGATCGTCATGCTCTCGAATGATTTGCTCACTTTTCATCACAAATTTGTCGATTTTCGAACTCCTAAAATCACCGGTTGAGATAATATCGGAGTGTAAAATTTTTTTATTACGCTTATTATTATTGTTATCCAGGAAATACTCGGGTTTGTTTCCAAGACCTCTTTTTTATATCCTTTACTGTATACGAGAACCCGGGTTCATTGCAAAAACACCCGTGAAACCGTCGTGGCGAGCAGAACAGCTGCGAGTTGCGCGATGGGCTTCGAACTGCCGTTGGATTGAGGACGTTCACCCGGAACGACCCAATTGAGTTGACCCGATCCGTCGACCCCGCCGCCGCCACCGCCGCCACTGACCTTGTCCCCGTTGCAAAGGTCGGTCGTGCACGTTTTGTACTGGTATGTGAAAAAGGGGTCGCTTTCCACTTGTATCAAACGCTCCACGCAGCCACGCAGAAAGTCCACCATTTCTCCGTCTGCGAAAATGAAAAGCGAATACCTCAGGTGCCACGCGTTAGAGAAGAATAAAATTACTTTAAATTCAAAACGGATTTATTCTTGAGCTATATTGAAATTTCTATATTGTCAAACTTGGCAATAAGCTTTTCGGCTGAATTTTTGACGTTTAAAAATGCAGTAAAATCTCTTCAAGGGACCAGCAAAAATATTCCAGTTTGGAGAACAGACATTTGGGGGATTGAAGTGAGAAAACGTCCTGTAAAATTAGTCACTATAAGAATCGGACCTTTAACGAAGAATTAAAAAACCCTAGCGCCATTTAAATTAGTCACTATAAGAATCGGAACTTAATGTAGAATTTAATAAACCTTGCGTAAACATTTTGATCAGTGATATTTTTGGCCTTATTTAGTTGCCTATTTGAATTAGTTTACATGACGCTAAACTTGGATTCTAGGGTTCACTTTCTTTCAAAACACAATTTAATTTGCATTGTTTTTCTCTGTCCGGTGTTGATAAAATAATAACCAAAAGGCCTCCAGGAAATTGAAGGTATGGAAGTTCTTGAGGGAAACCCTTTGAGTTAAGGGGGACTTTTAATAGATTGTTTCTAAAGAAATCAAGACAGGAACTTCAAAAAATTGACATAAGGAGGTAATTGACTTAGGGAGAGGACATTCAACTGTACAGTATAACGTATTCACTGATATACTAAAATATTATTAGAGCCTTCTCAGTGAACATCCTCACTAAAAAAAAAGTATACAAAAACTGTGGGAAAACAATTGCAATTTCCCATTTCTGGCGATTCACATTAATTAAAAAAGCAATTCAACACATGACAATTTGTTCACTTCATTTTAGTTTTTTGCATCTGCGATCAAATTAATTTTATGAATTGTAATTCCATTAATTTATTCTCTGTATGTGACAGGAGGAGGTAAAACTACATTTAGGGACTTTCTATTTTATATGCCCTGCTTATGCAATATTCTGTGACATTATTTTTTGAATGTTTAATTTAATGATGAGTACCACACGTGGGAAATGTATTTATTCACCCGTAGTTTATTTTATTTTTTTATTGCGGATATTATTTGAAGAATCTTTTTTAGTACAGGATTACTATTTTTGATCCCCACTAACAAAGAAAGTTCCATCTCCAAAAATCGATTCAATCCCTTTCCCTAGAATGGTTAGACTCCCGAGTATTTATAATCGCAATGTTATCCATATGTGAATAAAATGTACTGTACTTGATTTTATGACTGACCTGCGACACTGTCGCGGCGCTGGATGAAACAGTACTTTTTGGTACACGGAATAATTCCACCAAAAATCACTTCTGCTGGATTAGTGACGCACACATCGTCAGGATCCGAAGCTGAACACGCATAGCACCGAAAATCTCAAATAAACGATAACGCGAAATTTATAAATTTAATCAAAACGTAGTACAGTACTACAATACAAGAATGAGTGATCGGACACTAACTTGACTCCCGTCCGGCTGCTTAGGGTCATCCTGTCGATTTTTTATTTGGGTGTATGAAGATAGTAAATGATGTCACGACCTACGGTCCTGCAAAGTGAAACTGGATGATTTATCCAACTGTGGAGAGGAGGTGTCATGATTCAAAACTGTGAGGCATTTCTGATAAGAACGTGAAAGACGTAATCAAGGAATTTCAGATAAGATAATCTGAGACAAAAAATTCGTTCAAATGTATTTCCTTCATTTGCACAAGCATCTCCATCATAGAAAACATTTGATCGGTCGCCTGTCTAAAGATATATACACAGTGTAGGAAAATTCAGAAATTTCATGGTACAAAATTCAATATTGGAGAAGCATTAAGGATGTCGATCCAGAAATTTTCTCGTGAAAATGTTGTTCTTGATTTCATCATGAAAATCTCCTCCCATCCCTGATCTGAAATGGATGGATTTCGAGGACATCCTCACGTTCGTCCGTCCAATTTTCCCACCGCACAGTGTGGGTAGAAGTCAGTTGTCTGTCCTGGGTTCGCGAAAGTTGTCTTGATAAGAAGACCCGGATTCTGATTCATCCTGGGGGATTCAATTTCGTAAGTCGTCGTTGAGTTCCTTGTATTCCGAGTGGCAATTGCACGCATCTGTTTGGCAGCAATGGTGCTTCTTGAGTTTATCTTCGAAGAATTTAAGCATGTCGTCTTCTAAGCGCGCGGCTGCGTAGGGGTTCGACGCACTTTCTTTCCTGTCAAATAAATGCGCACTGATCTTCTTGACAAATCATGTTTCATTGTCACAAGATTTCGGACCTGCTTGTGGGACTGCGATTGATAGGCTCGATCCCGTCTGAGTTGTTGATGAGATGCATGGGGTAACGTGAGCGTGCTAATACGCGGTTATTTTCGCTCGCGTCCGAATTTTGCCACTTGCCTTTCAGGTCATCTACGGGTGAAAAAAGATTCTTTGCATGTGCAAGAAGTGAACGATAGGTAAATGTTTCAACTAACCGGCCCTCGAGACTTTTTGCTCCGTGGGGAGTGGTCTTGCTTGATCTTCGTAGGGTCCACTGCCGTAAGCGAATGGTGTATAAGCCGGTTCTTTGTGCTTGACGATATCCGCTCCTGTAAAGTATGAAGATGAAGTTCATGCAAGGAATAGGAGGATGTGATTTTGATTATCACAGTAGCTCACCCTTGTATTCATTGTCAAGTGTCACTCGAAGAACTCCGAACAAACGGAGGATGAAGAAAAGTAAACCGCTCGTCGCGAAACTCCAGAGGGTGATGCACAGTCCAGCTCCAAAGTTCCATTTGAGCATCTTAGAATTAAAATGTCATTTCGATGCCTTATCTTGCTCCCAATTACTACTGTTACTTTATTCATTTGCATGAGACTAACCGATGAATCTCCGGAAACGAGACCTCGCTCCGAAAGCAACCCGGCGCTGATCAACCCCCACCAACCTCCGCCAAAATGCACCGCCACGCAGTCCAGTGGGTCATCCAAAACTTTTGAAGAATCGCGATTCAAAACCAGGGTACTTTTGCATGATTTCATGCTTGCTTACGGTCGAATTTCGTTGTCAGTCGACGGATTCCGAGGAAGATCACAGCGGCCACGACGCCCACCAAAATGGCTCCCCACGGTGTAATAGAATCGCATCCACCACAACTCGCAACCTTTATGTGGCGAAGTGCAGGCAGATTACTCTGATTACTGCAAGTTTCTTCCAGTCAAGAAAAGGAAGAAAATCACCATGGCAATGAAAGCCGAATTGATCGTCACCAGCAAGCTCCAAGCCTTCTCTTCAATATTGCGGTTCACAAAGAGTCCCATGCGAAACAAGAACATTCCAGTCAAGCCACCGGCAGATGCACTCATGAGAGTGCAAACAAGCCTTAACCGTTATTAGTTAGGTAGAGGAAATACTCAGTGCACAGGATTGCTTCGCGTCAACTTCGGTTCCTTGGGGTCCCAATTCTACTTTGGTGGATTTCGGCGATCGACGTCGTTTTTTTATAACATGATTGGATTTGGATAGTTTGTTCAGTGCTCGACGGTAAAATGTGGTTTTAATTTTATGAAAAAAAAAAACACTGTATTTCTTCTTAGCCAAAATCTCTAAATGGGGTATTGACGAGCCAGCCGTCCGGTGACCATGCCCAATGGGCAACGATTGGGAAAATCAGCCCTAGGTAACAATCATTGAGTAACTTTAATCAATGAGACTGTGTAACTCAATAATGTGCTGGACAGATGAATCTCAATAACTGAAAGCTTCCTGTGACGATTTTTTTCGCGTCCCTGTCTTAATTGCCTTAGAAATAATGCCCTAAAAACTTCTGTTAACTCCAAGGTTTTCCTTCTCAAATCTCCATGACTTACATCTTCTGTAGGTCTTTGTTCAATTTTTTTATTGCCCCGGTAAACATGAATGCAATATTCTACAAAATTCAAGACCAGATAAGATATGTTGCAGTGAACCCCTTTAACATGGCAAGAGCAACACATTCCACCACAAAGAAATTGCTGTAGAGAGTCCACCATTTGGTTAGACCCCCTGGAGTCCTGGGAGTCCACCTGTAAAACTGTAACTTACTGTGTTTTGAAAGAAAGTGAAAGACTAATGTGGCAAATGAACCCTCTCATCCAAGCTGAACCTCCTTTAAACTCTTACAAAGCTATATGAGGCAATTGTAAGAATATCACCAATTACAATGCTCTGTAAATATTTTCTTTTTCCCATAACAAAAATGCTTGTACCCCAACTTGAAAACCTCCTCCATTAAAATTTTTTATTGTCCCTTGAAATTTGATTCAGAGAGATTCCTCTGTACATGGGCTGATGAGCCATTTAAAATACAATTATACAAATAGTCTTATTGACCTAAGGCAGACTTCTTTGGTCAATAAAAAGCACATTTTCAAGCCAAATTTCCTATCATCACTGAACATTTATACTGTACTGTAATTGTGGTAGTCTAGAAATTTTTCTGTTGATTGAATACAGCATAGTTTCAAGTCAGAATCCCTTCTGTCGCTGAAGATTTTTCTAGACATTGTGTTTGGGAAGACATTTTATGTTGATTGACTCCAGAGGATTGCTGTAATAGCGTCACTGGATTTCAAGTCACTACTTGCTTTCTTCTCCAAGTTTGGCGATTTTAAATTTGACATTGAAGCGCGTGAAATAAAATTTGAATTTTTACATTGATGGGAGTCACAACGTAACGTATGAACCTTCAGATTTATACTTCTATGAAGAAGTAAGTTGACTGGACTACAGTGACAACACATCTGGTTCATTCTCTGTTTCCAGTGTGCGAGATGGTGTCTTGGTCGTACTATTGATGCTGCCGTGGAAGTGAAGCAGAATTCGAAGAAAAATTTTGAATACTTTTCGGGCCTCATATTCAGAGACATGAAATCCGTCAACCCGATAAACTTATTCCCGCTCTCAAACGAAAACGCTCGTCCGAAAAGGAAAAACGTCACCCCAGCAATAACTGAAATGAAATTCAAAAATCTTGAAAATGTCTTCCGTGAAATTGAACACTGAAGTGAGACCCCCACATGCGGACACCTCAACATGGGGACAATTTGACATAGGGACATTTATTTTTCAATAAAAATCTTTGAGATCCTGGAGTGAAGCGTCCAGTTCACCGTAAGCCCTCGTAATCGCGTCCAGTCTTTCAGCTGTCGTTAAAGTCGCGTTGTCGAAAAGCATGATTTTTGATATCACAGAAGATCCCGCGTCGTCCATTTTTATCTTGGACGAAAGATGCACTTTCCTATCGTTTTCGAGCGAAGAACATGAAGTGAAATTAAAAGCACCCTATTCCAAGAAAAAAATACGGTTGAAAACACGTTTTAAATACTGTATCATATCCGTACGTAACTTTAAAATACTGTAGTGCAGAATAACTCAAAATTTTCGACTACAAACGCCATATTTACGGTATGAAAATTTTTTTCGGAGTGCCCATCAGAATAAAATATACCTCACTTTTGTCTCTTGATTCAATTTGAAAAAAAAAAAATACTAATACAGTGCAATTCGAACTGTCACCTGAATCTATCTAAAAATCGTGAACTTTTCGGCATTCGATTCAAGCGAAGTTAAATTTCAAGCAGAAATTTCTTCAGCAGATCACTTTGGAAGTTTACACTCGACGATTCGGCGACGAATGAATTTCACTGACTGTGAAAACGAGATGTTTGTCGGTTTTGAACAGGTCTTGAACTTGAAATCCGCGCTGGTTGAAAAAGAAAAACAATAATTTTTTTGAACATGAATGAACATGAATTTTTTCAGGAATTCCAGACTAGTTAACAGGAAAATCGGCGTTTGCACAGGAACAAAAACGGGTCTCTGTGGGGAATGAAGCATCGTTTGAAATCGCGTCGACGTGTCGAAATTTCCGGAGAACTCGTGAAAATGACGACGGAAGGAAACAACGGGGATTGGATGCATACTTTACGTCAATTTTCGGTGAAATTTGAATCGTAGAATATGTAAAGCCTAATTAATGAGGCAAGTCGTGAAAAGAATTGACAAGAACTCATATTCGCGCTTATCTATTGAAATAGGAGACCATTTTTTAGTATTTTTGTACGTAAAATGTTCATTTAAGAAAAAATGTGGTAGGTGAAACAAAAGGCTCTCCTGCAGATTACAAGAGCGCTTTAGAAAATGAATCATTTGAAAAAAAAAGCTTTTTTTGGTCGAAATATCGAATAACTTCGCATTGAGAGAATTTTAAGAAGATACGCATGCCAGCAAGTCGAGCATCACGTTGATAATTTTTTTCAACTGTGAAGGCGACACCTATTAGAGAACAAATAAAACGGAGCGAATGACCAAAATTATAAGCCAGAGGTGTCGCAAACAGAAATTCTTGAATGCACGCTTCTCCCTTATAGGTTCTCAGTCCCTCCCAGTCTACTTTCCCACTGTAAAATAATTCTGACGCACACGAAATATATCAGATATTTCTTGTATAATTCCTTCCCCTCAGGATTTTAGAAAAATAATTATATGTTTCAGTAGATGTTGTTTCGAACGGGCTAAATTAATGCCTTCTTATATATATGCGAACAATGCTATCTCGTATATATTGTATACCGTAAATAGTAAGTACGAGAAAGTAAAGACGTAAGATTTAACTGCTTTTTCAACCGGTCAGCATATACTTGTGGAGAAATTAAAGAATCCCAGATTTCATAGAATTATCCATTAACTAAAAAAAAAAACTTTCGGTATACGTTTAATTTGGTTCATCAGGTATTCGAAACAGAAGGAACAGCATTGCGCGGCAATAGCGTTCTATTCGAATAATATTGCAATAATAAGAACGAGTTAGAAATGTTAGTTTAACATGTTTTTCCCCTATTCAGGAACAATTGAAAAAGCCCTTCTCTGATGACAACATGTGCTGAAACTTAATGCGGTTTCTTACGTACATGTTGCGAACTTGCAATGCAAGAACGATATAGAAAAGCGGGGAAAAATTCAGGTCCCACCGAGATTCGAACTCGGATTGTTGGATTCAGAGTCCAAAGTGCTGACCATTACACCATGGGACCTCGCTGATTTTTCCTGGCTGAAATTCCACTCTACCTTTGCAATCTTCATGGAAAACCTCTAGAGGTCCTTGTGTAGTTGAAATGTTGACCTGACTCTTCAAAAAATGTTCCTTGATGGATTCGTGCCATAAACCGGGGATTTAAAAAAAATAGAAGATGATAATTCAACCAACTCCGTTTGCTCACAGAGTAAAAATTGCTAAACAAAGTTACATGCAAGTAATTGAACATATTTTCATCAGTGCATTAATTCGAGATATCTAAACGGAAATGAGGATCCTGGAGTTGAAAAAAAGGGTACTTATATCTCACAGTTTACCAGCAGCATTGGTTGGCATTTGGAACAAACAATCTCCAAATACATTTTCTTTACTGAACTGAAAATGCCTGAACAAAACTATATGTGGAATAATAAAATTCGCGTATTCAAAAAATTACGATCATCGCGTATTCCAAGAAAAAAAAATGCAAATCACATGAAAATCACTTGGAGGGAAACAATACGAGACATTATATGAATTCCCTTGAATAATTCGTAAAGCATTCAAATCAAATCAACACTTTCCCGAAGTACACAGCAGATATAAAAAAAAAATTAAAAATAAAGTAGTATGTAAATGCAGGAAGTTTCCGCCGCGACTTTCCATTCGCTTTTGGCGGGATGGTGTCGGCCAGCAGAAGAGTTTTCCACCTCCTAAAAAAATCCACAGAAAAATAAATAAATGTCCTCCAACCCACCGCTCGTCTTTTATTGTTGTGGTGCAAAAAAAATATCGAAACAAGCTTGCATTTTCTGCGCTGAACATGGTGTAAGAGGCTTCATGCTGTTGTCCATTGTTCTGGTCGAAAAAAAAGAAATCAAATCAGGCCGTTGCCCCATCATCAGGTGCGTCGATTTTTCCTTTCCTTTTTCCCTCTAACCCTGAGTAAAAGGATAAAATCTGTTTTTTCCTCCTTGAGACGAATCCTCCCTTTTTTTTAATGGAAGGATTTTCTCGATTATATAATCGTTCTTCTGCACAACGGGATTATATTGTCTCTTATTGGGCAAATCCTCCTAAAAAAGAAAGTGCTCGAACCCGGTAGGAGGGGGTAAATACAATATTTAAAACAGCGATTCACGAAAGACCGACATGAAAAAAAAATAAAATAAAATAACCTGCTGCTGAAACGAAAATTTTCAGGGTAAAAACGTGACTTGAAGTACGGAATTATTTTACATGACGAAGCATATAGGCCAAAAAATCGTGAATTATAAACAGTTTTGAACTGAAGCACATTTTTGTTCAATCGAGGAAAATCATGAAGGAAATCATAGTTTTACAATACATCAGTTTGTGTTTGCAATGTGAGAAATTCTCAAAATCATGAGCAAGACTTTTCAGGATTTCAGAAATTTCACTCGAAAAAATATTAAAATCAAAATGTTCTGCAAGAAAATATGCACCCTCAATGGTTTATTGTGGTATTTTTGTTTGTAGCTGGAAAAATTAAATAAATTACAGTACAGCTTCAGAAAAAATGTGGTTCACGTCATGGAAATTCGGCATTTAAAAAACTCTGTAAGGAACTGAGAAAGTTTCCTTTTGTAAAATATTTGAAAATCTCTAATCTAATGCAAGAAATTTGTGAAAAAAGCCACCCAGTGAGGAACTTTTTTTTATTTTTGAGGCCAATTTTTCTGAAGGATTATAACAAAATATTGGACTTTTCCCCGACTTAGGCCTTGGTGCAAAAATTGAAGTTTTTAATTTTCAGTGCTTGTGGGCTCAACATTTTGCAAAAATATCCTGACTTTGCTGCACAAGGGTTTAGGGCACTTCAACTTTGGGACACTCCTGATGTACCAATTATACATCTGTATCGTGGGGGTCTCAATGTAATTGCATGAGACTGTTTGCCCGTTCATTGAAATATTGTAATAAACGATTTTTTAAAAAGCCACACCTTCCCCAGTCAGCATTAGATGCATATCCCAGTTTCAGCATTTAAGCAGTCGACATTTTCCATAGTTTCTTTTATTCACTACATTTTCATCAACATTTTGAAGGAACATCTTTAAAAAAAAATTCCTAAGTTGTTTTGCCTGTCGGTTTTCAGAGTGTTCCTTTTGAAAACGACTGAATTAATGTTATTCTTGCCGTTAAAGGCCTGCTGCGCAGCACTTTTACTTATACGTTCTGACATATCTGTGATATCTTTTTGTCGATTTAAAAATATATTAGGCATATCACAGCCCATAGCTATTCTTTGTTGCTCAAACGAGGGAAAAAAATCTCCATATTGTGGAACATGAACAGAATCTTTGGTATACCAGCTGCTTAACGCCTCCCGATCTTTCAAAAAAAGTCGTTTCAGGCGATGTCAGAATTTTTTCGTCGAACAAGAAGACGAAAAAAAGGGGGTGAAAAGAAATTAGCCTAACTATTTTTCCCGTATTTCGAAACCGAAAAAAAAAATCCGCGGGGAAAATTTTTTTTTTTCCGCTGATGATATCGTAATGAGGAAATGAACACCTAATTCAAAAAATAAAATAAAATGAAAATAAAAGCTGAGGTTTTTTTTTTTCCTTCGTCAGGCTTCCGAATCGTCGATCTGAGCGCCGTTCAGGTCTGCTTGAATTTCTTCAGGACTTCGCAAATCAATGGCAAATTTTCTAGGCTTTGCCACTTTTTCGTCTTTGAGTTTCTCTCCGTATTCTTTGAAAGCTGTCGACAGAGCGAATGTCAGTCTTCTTGCAGTCTCCTGTGGATCGGAAAAATATACAAAAATATTATTTATAATAAATTCTGCATTTATTCAAATTTACAACTCACTGATCCCCCCAAAGGCTTCTAAAATCAAAGCTAGTCTTAAATTCAATTACATATATTTCCTCCACGCTGTAATAAATTCGCGGGAAAAGTTTTTAATATTTTTTTTACTTTTTCCAATGCAGTATAAATTCGCGGGAAAAGTTTTTAATGTTTTTTTTTTACTTTTTACAATACAGTACCATAAAATTCACGAAGTTTGCGATGTCCTGCTTAAGCAAAGTCAAGTCATGAACAAATAATCCTTAAAAGTAACCTATTAAAATATTTCATTTCGTGTAATTTATCGAAGTTACGGAGGTTTTTTTCCAAGCTGTCACTCCTGCTGTTCAAAATATTATATACTGTAAAACCATGCATGTACTGTATTGTGTACAGTAAAATAACAAACCCGGGAATCGCAAACAAAGCCGTGACATGTGAACGGGTGCGTGTCTCTCAGGTCCCCATCGCAAACGACGATCATGGCGAATACCCGGGTATACGCCAAATCCTGAACCCCGTAAGATATTTCTCTGATGGACCGGAACCCAGCTTCGAAATCCTTATTCGCGTTTCCGGGCCGCTCGTCGATGCGAATCCCGCTGCTGCTGACCTCTAGACTCAGCAGCGGCAACGTCATGCCACGTTTCAAGGCTTTCGCCGCTGCGACGAGCTCGTCGATCGGCTCCCGAGTGTGTCGGATGCCCCACAGGCCGGAAGCGTCGCGTTTGCCCAAGTACTTCACGATGAAGGTTTGAGGAAGTGAAATTTCTTGGTTGGCTGGTGTCGGAGTGGAGGCTTCTTTCGCGACGACATCTGTGCGGGTTATAGACAAGCTTTGAAACTTGCTTTCCACCTGAGTGTCGCTCGCGGTCGACATTTCTTACGGTCCGTCAAACAGGCACTTTTTCTTCCATACCCTGTAAAAATGATAACAAAACCAAATTATCTTCATGTATACATACACTCCGGTGATATATTACGCAAAATCAATCTCTAAAAAAAACGCTTCTTCGTTTAAACAGCCTACCTCGCTCAAAGTCGTGTCAAATAAAATCGACCTGAAACCTGGGTTCCGAACAAAAACCACACAAAAACCCAGTCAAGTGACATCTGTGTGGGAGCACGAAAATTCTAGGTATGAAAATGATGGAGAAATCGACATTAGAGCCTCAAAATATAGCATTTAAATTGCGGAATTCCTCACGTTTTGGGCTCGAACGTAAATTATATTTTTGCAGATATTGGAATTGATAAAATTGAGCTGGATTTTTACGTCAAATGTTATGTCAACAAGCCCATTCATATTATGGTGGAATTTGTGCTTGATTAAAGAAAAGGGGTGCGGTAAAACATTTCTTATTACCCATTAAAGCACAGTATGTCAATTTGCTCAAACGAATCCGTATCTTAAAAAAAAAATGAATGCAGTACATCCATAGAAATCGTCTTGAGCTTGATGATTTGATTTCAACCAAACCTAAAAAAAAATAATTGTTGATAAATTTCGCTCGTCCAATTTAAAACGGAAAAGTGAAATCTATTTGATTGCTCGATCATCATTACGAATGCATTTCTGATGACTCCCCGAAACATACAATTATAGGATCCGCATTCTTTATCTTTCGCGACGACATCTGTGCGGGTTATAGACAAGCTTTGAAACTTGCTTTCCACCTGAGTGTCGCTCGCGGTCGACATTTCTTACGGTCCGTCAAACAGGCACTTTTTCTTCCATACCCTGTAAAAGTGAGAACAAAACCAAATTATATTCATGCATACATGCACTCCGGTGATATATTACGCAAAAACAATCTCTTTAAAAAAACCGCTTCTTCTTTTCAACAGCCTACCTCGCTTAAAGTGCTGTCAAATAAAATTGACCTGAAAGCTGGATTCCTAAAAAAAACTCACGCAAGTGACATCTGTGTGGGAGCACGAAAATTTTAGAGATGAAAATGATAGAGAAATCGACATTAGAGCCTTAAAATATAGCATTCAAATTACGGTATTCCACACGTTTTGGGCTCGAACGTAAATTCTATTTTTGCAGATATTGAAATTGATAAAATTGAGCTGGATTTTTATGTCAAATCCAACAAGCCCGTTCATTTTTTGTTGAATTTTGTGCTTGATTAAGGAAGAAGGGTGCAGTAAAACACTTCTTTTTCTCCATTAAAATACAGTATGTCAATTTGCTCGAACGAATGTGTATCTAAAAAAAATGAATGCAGTACATCCATAGAAATCGTCTTGAGCTTGATGATTTGATTTCAACCAAACCTAAAAAAAAATACAACAACTATTTAAAGCGAGCAGGTTAAATTTTGCCTTTTCACTTTAGATAAACTAACGAGCTAGTAGTAATGCTTACGTAAAGACTACTGAGGGGCTTTGTATGTTAATATCCTAGGCGTAAGAAATTTTGAGAGAAAGAAGCTAACAAAAAAAAACAGCTTTCACTATCCATCCACTGAAAGAATTCGAAATTATCACTGGCATTTCCGACATCCCAAGGTTTTATTTTTCTGATAGCGGTTTCCTGGTGGCAGCGATAATAAAGCGCATTCCAGCGAATCGCACGATTAACTGTAGTGAATTTTGAGTTTTCAAGGAGAAAAAATGGAGAGAAAAAAACAGAGTTGCTCTTGCTTCAACAACTGGAACAGTTCCAGTTGAAATATTCGGACACGGTAGTGAATTACTTCCTTCCACGAAATGAGAGCCTTTTGTCCTCGTCGCAGGAAAAAAGAAATCAAATGCGGAATTCCAAAGAGGAAAACGAATGTAAAAAATCAGCACAGTTATTTTTGCTTTCAGTAAAATAATTCAAATCATCACAGCGGCGAATGACTTCGTATAATTTACTGTAGATCAGAAGGGGCGACTTATATTTTAACGTTGAGAATTTTCCTCTGAAAAAACGTGACGAATCACGCGCATGTTTTTCACGCATTCATTTAATTCTGAAAAACACTTGGAGGGAAAGAAGGTAGAGATTTTGGGCGAGGAAAAATATGAGGAATTCTTGAACAAATGGAGAAAGAACTGAGTTTTTCTTGTGCCTTTCGAAGTGTTTAACTTTGTGTTGGGGGATGGAGGATAAATATTGACTCAGGGTGTGGGCTATACTTGAATTTCATTGTGGGAGATTCTTGAGACCTGAACGTTTATCTACGAAGTGAAAGAATTCCCTGTTCATTTTTTCCCCCACTTCAAACCGAAAATTTTCTTTTGGACGCAAAATTCATCATGAGGATATTCCACAAAACATGCATTTACAGTAATTAAAGACTGAAGATGAGGTTTGTCCTACTCCTCATTGATCATTTTTTTCCCCACTTCAAACCGAAAATTTTCTTTTGGACGCAAAATTCATCATGAGGATATTCCACAAAACATGCATTTACAGTAATTAAAGACTGAAGATGAGGTTTGTCCTACTCCTCATTGACCTTGGTTATTTCTAGAGTACTTACCTCTGCAAAAAAAAAAATAGCATGATGTAGCCCAGTGTTCCCTGACCATTTTGGGTCCACTGACTGGCAAATTCCCAAAAAGTTTTTGCAGACCAGCAAAGCTTCTTAAATTTTCACAGACTTGATAACATTTTGCTTCATAGATTTATGGCAGGTATATAAAATTTTCTGCTTCTTGCAAAAATTAAGTTAAGTACCTCAGCTTAATGCCAACAGAAACTTAGAAAGTTGGGTTTGAAGAAAGCTTTCTCAGAATAAAAAATTAAAATAATTTATTTCAGCTTGTTAACATGTGTTTCAAGTGTTATTAGGAGAAAAGCCAACTTTTATTTTTCATCAAATGATTTCAACTGCCATTGGCTTTCCAACATTTTAGATAATGATAACAGAGTTCATTGCTACTTTTAAGAAATGTACTATGCTGAAAATTTCCTGCAGACAGGCAAACATTTTTCTGAGGACCAGAGCTGGTCCATGGACTATGGGTTGGGGAACACTGATGTAACCCATACTATTGTCAGGTTTTGGGATTTTTTCAGGCTTTTATAAAAAAAATTTAGATTTACTGCATGATGGTAAGTGAACATTTTCCAGTTAGGTGAGAGTTCTCCTCCCATGACAGAATAAGCTGTTGAAAGTTTTTCAGGCCAGTCAAAAAATTTGAAATTCTTTGGTTTTCGCACACACTTTCCTACATCTTGTTTAATTTAAAAAAATTAAAAAAAATTATTTTGTTGGCAATGGATGAATACCCAAGTACATTCCGCATATTTCCAAGCTCATGTTTTTCCTCAAAAACTTTATCCAAGGGCTACTTCCTGCTTGTGATATTTTTCTTTCTTCTCCAATACAAGTCAAAATTTACATTTTATTCATTATGCAGGTGGTACCTTGCAACTTTACCTCCTGCAATTTGACTGTCCCACAATTTGATGATCAAATTTGCAGAGAGGGTTTAATTTATTGCAGAAAGGTTTTAATTGACTTGCAATTTGACCCTTGCCCCGCAATTCAACCTGTTTTTTTCATTTTTTCAAATTTTGTACTTAATATTTTGAATTAGACAGAGTGTCTTGAAATGTGACCAATTTGAATTTAAACCCTAGATTGGCAATGGATTAAGGTTGAATTGCAAGGTACCATTTGTACAGAATTTTCAAAATACTTACATTTTCAGTTTTTAAAAACAGCCTTGTCTTATTTAGGGTTACATTTTTATCCAAGTTTTAGGCCAAAAAATTAAAATCCGCTTCCCTCAAAGGCACATGATACTCAAACATGATCAATTCCGATAATTGACTGAAACGAATAATTTCCAGTAATTAACGTACCCAAATGCAGCCAAATCGCATCACTGAAAAGCTCTCTGCCAAATTTTGGAGTCCCTTTGACTGAAAGGGGTTAAACTGCGATTTACTCATTAAAAAAAAGCAGTGAAAATTATAAATACGAAGGAAAACCGAGCCTCCTCATCGGTTCACTGTGGAGAAACCCAGAGTGATTAGTTTGTACACTTTGATGGAAAATTAATGATCCTGGGAAAATTCCCACACAAATTTGACCTTCACGACAACTTAATCCAATGTTCTAGACACAGTCTACACACACATGAAATACGCAACACAGTATACTCAAAATAATGGGACGAGATGTTTTACGTTCCTCTCTGAAAGAAGTTTCGAAATACATTTTAATTGCGAAGCGTTTCGCGATCGACGCGAGAGTCATGCAGTCAAATAAGTTTGACTCGTCACTATTCTGTACACTTTATTCCTTTGACAACGACAGCAAAAAAAAAAAAAGATGTCAAAACAAGCATTCTCAGAGCGAGTCGAGATTGTGAAGCAAATTTATCTTTGGATTGATAGAACTGAATTTTATCTTCAATATAGAAACGGCTCATGATCCATCATCTCTGGGGTAATCTTTCCTTTCTCGCCTGGGACCGTATAGATAAGCAGAGAGTTAGACAAAAGTCTCTAAATACTCTTTGTGAAAAAAAAAAGAAAAGCGACTTTGTTATTTTTTAGTAGTCTCAAGCTACTTCTAGCAAGACAGAAGTCGAGTCAGAAGAATACGGCTCTGCCAAAATTTTCCAAACCGGATTTTTGCTTTGAGATAATTTTTAAGCGTGAAATTATTTGTGGCTGAATACATTTCAATCAAACCGATGCAACCGAATCTCAAAGAATGAATGAATTTGAAACCCTAATCTGAAGTTAGATTTTGAGTCGTTGACAAAAATTAAATACCTCAAAATATGTTATTGATGTACAGTAACATTTTGTGATCCCCGCTCAGAAAGCAGAACTTGAATCTCTACATTTAATGAATAATAAAAATAATATTGTACTGTATGTACAAAATATTTTTACAATAATAACAGAAAATGCATTTGACATAATATGCAACTTCCTTCTCTCAAATTTCAAAAAAATACGGTAGTCACTCCCCGAAACAAGGAAAATAATGTTCCTGATACTGTTTGTTTCGCAACATTTTTTTAATGTAAAAAAGTATTTTTTCAATGTTTTTCAATTTACAAAATTTCACCTGATCCGGACACTCACAAGATGACCATATAGAAACATTCGAAAATAATGGCTTATTTTTTAGCTTTGTATTAGCATAAAATTCGGAGTTTAAAATTCAAGTTATCCCCAAAATTTTGAGCTGTCAACTTTCTGAAATTCACGAACTTTCATCTATATGTAAGACTTTTTCTCTGATGTTTCGCCTTGCTCCAACTATGAAAACTTCCACGGTTTCAATTCGAAATTTTCCAAAATTCAAGCTTTTTTTCGGCCAAAAGATTCGGCATGACTTTGTAAAAAGTGAACTCAGTGTAAAAGGGAAAAAGCACTTTAAAGGGCCAATCGTTTTTGGTTATTACCTCTTTCAAAGTGCAATGTTTTAAAGAGATGAGCCTTTTCACTAAAGTTTCAAAAATCAAAAAATGGGAACAGAAAAAAAGGGAACCGACCGCATCGAGTTCTAATGATTTATTTCTCTTCTTAAAAGCTGGTTTTTTTTAATATTCCCCCGCGAAAATAGAATTCATACCAGGAATGGAAAAATGGCTCGATCAAACTAACCCAAAAAAAAGTGTGTTACACGAATAACGAAAAACAAAACTTTCGCATGTCAAAATTGGATACAGAAGTTGCGAATGCAAACCTCGCAAAATGCAATGCGGAAGTGATATAAGAAACCGGAAACAAAGCAAACATGTGTGTCACACGAAATTATTTTTCCTCGATCC